AAAATATAGTGAAAATTCTTGATTTAAAGTTTTTATAAATAAATTATGATATTTTTAGTGAATTTAAATTAAATATAAAAGGTGGATATAATTTTAGTTATAATATTTCTATTTTTATATTTTAATTTAAATTTAAAAGAAAAATATTTTTTTGTATCAATCCGTAACCGTCCGCAACCGCAAACATTAGATGAAACCATCTTTTGATTTTAAGAGGTTGGGAGTGGTTTTTAGTGATTTGTAACAGTTTTGTGATTGTTGCAAAACACTAACAACCGCTACCAATCGTAAAAGCTGCGTTTGCGGGTGATGGCGGAGAAACCAGTCGGATCCTAAGCTCAGCTTTAAGAAGAAGAGAATACATTACTCGTTTATGAAACTTTAGAAAATTCGAATTGACTAGAAATAGAAATTCGGAGGTAGTACTAAATGATTAAGACATAATAAAATATCCGTAAAAAAAAAAGCCAATCAATTTTGTTTTTTTGGACAGAACAAAATTAATAAAAAAATTCAGAAAATTGGACATTTTCACATGATAGCACCGACGACGACAGCGCAGGCCAGCGAAGCAACGACGATGGAGACTAACAGCGAAGAAGACGAAGATTTCTGAGAGAGTGGGATGGATCCAAATGCGTTTTGATAAGAGGGAGCGTCGGCATCAGCGGAGGAGGGAGACAAGGCGTCATCAGCTTCGGGGGAGTAAGTGCCGACGGAGACGAGGAGCTTCTGGTACTTTTGACAGTGACCAGGTTGTCCGCTGGTGAAGTAAAAAGTTCCGTTTTGGGTGAGGTTGAAGAGAGAATTTCCGTCGTTCATGTACAAGATTGGATCTTTGGTATTGCAGCTCTTGAAGTTGGAAGCTGTCACTTGAATCATTGAATCTTCGCTTGGTGGGTACAAGAACACTGTTTTCAGTTGCATCATCAGTTACTGAGATGTTTAGAGATTATCTTTTGTTGATTGAATTGAAATAACTTTACTTACAGAGGGAGTCACCGATCTTGAAAGAGTGAGTTTTGGGCCATTTGGAGTAGACTTTAGCATCTGTTGGGATACCCCATGAGTCCAAGTTTCCAACTTTGTATTGCGTCGATGACACTTGCACTAACAGTATCATCAACACAACCATTACGCTGCTCACACTCATCATTCCCATCTCTCTCAGTCTCTGTCTTTGATTGGTGGCGAGTTCTGTTTCTGAGATCTCCTGAAAAGCTAACTCATATAAATTGGTGAAACCAAAGAGTAAGGGAATGACGGTTCTACCCCTGATAATTGGGGCGCCCAAATAGGCAATGTGGAGGAGCATCCTATCCCAATACAATGGAGGTATCTAGTAAAAATTCATTTTCTTTATCATAGTGTCTGCTCTCACATGGCCACCAGGTCATAAACAAGACCCGGTTCCAGACATTCATGTGCTCATCAAATTGTACAATGGTTTATGTCTCTACTCGCTCCCCTTGCAATTTCCACCACATTTAAACAGAGACAGCCTGATACGTAGGCCCATTTTGAGAAAAGGCCTCGGAGAGCAAATGTTTCTAGAAGAGTTATAATGAATAACGACGTGGTGGGAGGGAGCAGCAGGCGCACATGGTCCATTGGTGAAACAGAGAACGTGTGATGAGGTGTGATCAAGTAGCGTTGTAATAGGTTGAGTAGAGGTATCAAATAGTTGGTCAATCATGTCCATGGGGGAAGAGAGACTCCATAATATCTTTCACCTTATAACCTTTTTATCATCATCAATATAATCATATATTCTTTTTTTTTTTTACCTTGTTCTTTCAAATTTGATACGTTGATCTAACTCATTGCCACATTCAATTTGAGTTGGACGACTAGTTTGAACTTTGAACCCATGTCGATGTAAAAAGGAGTCTAAAAATAGTGACCATATCCAAAATAAGCTGATTGAAGTTGCAGAGGTTTGAGTGTCGGCTACATCTGGTGAAAGCACAAAATCCAAATAATATGGGTTCAGCAGGGTTTGAATGGAATGGCTTTATGAGTAAGCACCAAGGTACTAAGACAAGTAGAATATCATCAAGAGAAAGAAGGCGTCTGAGCAAGGACGTTAAATCTCTTTTTATGTCACGGAGATCGGTTATTACGTGTTTAGAGGGTCAGCTTCCGAGGTCATCTCCTTTTCTGCTGACCACTCTGGTAATCCTGCAATGGTAAATAGAATCACCAGTCGGTCCTCAAGATGATCAGATCAAACATGTTCACGATTGAATATTCCCAAACCTTCTAGTAACTTTCTATGAACGAACCAATCAAACGGATGGCTTTTACTTCCCATTGTTAACATGAGTAAATGTCAGAAGACTTACTTGACTTATGGATCTCGGCTACGTTCATCAACCTCCTCTGCAATACAGAGGCCACAAAAAGGAATACGGAGCACATCCCAAACATCACGGTCATTGGAAACGCATCAACCTTTAGATAGCATATACAAAGAACAGCTCGTTAAGTCCATCCATCGCAGCAGTATATATTTCGTGCGCGTAAAATGAAAAAGAACTCACGTTGTAGAGGACAAGGCAGACAAAGATGTTGAGTGGGATGCGGAAGAAATTCATGATGGTGCTTCTGGCTTCCTCTGGGATGTATTGGGATCTCATCTTCATAATAGAAGGCCAGAAGATTCCAACGCATGCTTCAAAAGTGCAGAAACCCATAAGCTGAATGCAGCCAGAGAAAGAGATGCTTCCACCTTTTACACCAGAGGGGGCCACCAAGAACTGTGAAAAGCAAGTTTTATATATACAGGATGCAAACTCCTTGAAAATAAGTAAATAAATACGATCGCAGCAAATACATACGCTTGTAACAACGGGAAGCATCAGAGCAGCAGAGGAGATGACAAACACGATCTGCATATAGCTCTCAACTTTAGGAGACGAGTGAGCGAGCAAACGAGAAGCAACGGAGCTGCCAAGCATGGAAGCGAGCATGAAGGTAGCAAAAATGAAACCATGTGGGATGTCCTCATCATTAGGGCTCAAAGCAGGAGTCCAGAGAAACACAAAGGTGTACATGGACCCTTCGAACAGAGACTGAATAGCACCAAGCAACGCGATCTTCTCATCAGAAGCAATGGCAGAGGCAGCATTCTTGAACTGGGTAAGAAGGTCTTTGTTCTCCGAAGGATCTCCGTAGTTTTCGGACCAGGAAGACATAATAACGGCCATACCAACAGCAAGGAAGCAAGCAGCAGCGTCGAAAGGAGCAACGGGGCCGAGGGAGAGAGAATCAACAAGGAAGTTGCCAAAGAGGCCAGCAATGATGGCGACAAGACCATTGCCAAGGAAGATAGCCTTGGAGAAAGTGAGTGAAAGCCACTGCTGCTCGAAGCCTCGCTTGTTGTGCTCAGCGACAAGCCAAGACTCGAAGGCGGAGAAGAGAAGAGAAGTGGCGATGCCGCCGAGAACACGGCCGAGCATGAGAACTCTGTACTGGGGAGAGTGTTTAGTGATGCAGCTGAGAATGTAGGTAATGCAGTAGGTGATTGAAGCTCTCTTGCGACCCCTAATTAAGGAACACAAGAATGATTAATTAGAAGGAAGACGATCAATACAAAGAAGAAGAAAGGTGACTCACTGTTTATCAGCGAGAGATCCAACAATGGTGCCGAAGAGCATAGAAGATCCGAAACCAGCAATGAAGAGCTGACCGATCTCTCCCTTGCCGAATCCGTAAGTGCTATACAGATAGTACACGTAAGGTCCCTGCAACCAGTCCCCAGCTACACAACACAACCACCAATCAATTCAATCACCTGATCTATTGTAACACTTCTAACAACAAATCAAAGGAGAAGGAAGGGGATGTACGCACCCATCATGAGGGAGTAAACGAGGAGATAGTTGTTCTTGAAGGAGTTGAAGGCGGATGAGGTGTTTATTCGGTCTTTGTTCGATTTGCTCAGCTCCAATCCGGCTACGATCGCAGCCAGCCCACCGAACACCACCAAGTAGAAGATCTCCATTTTTCCCTCGCTCCCTCGCTCGCCAAAGGATGGAATGAATGAGACTATTACGATGATCTGTTTTGTATAGTGTGGTGTGAGATCTGATTTTAACCGGTGTATGCCATTTCATATTTTTTTCTTTTTGTTATTTAAGTTGAATTTTGAACTTCTTTATTTAAAGAAATGATTCTGATATAGTATCAATTTGAATAATTTTGGCGTTTGTTTTGTCAGTTTTTTCTAACCTTAAACCATAAAAATAAATATATAATTTGATTCGCTTTATTAAAAGTTCAGTTTTGTTCTACTCATACAATATTTGGATCTACTCCAGCTTTCCTTAAAAATTAATAAAATAAACTATAATAGTTATTCATGTGTATGATTATTGGAATCGGACGAAACTATAGAGACCAAATGGATGTTGAACACTTTAGCATCTCTCATATTCTGAGAAATAAAAACAGACGAGACTGCCTTGCCAAGGAGGCAAAGGATCCATGGTACTATCCTTTTTTATGTAGATCAGACCTGGCTAAATCAAACGTTACTCTAAAATGCTTCAATTTGATCTACTTTATGAGTTGACAAAAAGAAATTATTCATATATATGTAAAATTGTTTATTAAATACGAAATTGCATGCATTAAACTTAAAAACTATAATTCACTCTATTCACTTAGAAACGCAAGTGCTTGCGCTTCTATGATATGTTATATATTAATGATATTTTAAATGAAATACTATTTTGCTGTTTTTCATGTTCAGATGTTTTGATCAGCGGTTAAAGTTTCAAAATAGAAAAAGAGTTTGGCAAATCTTAATGTCAAAATGATCAAAACAAAATATAAAATAGATCATGTTAAGAACAAGAAAAAGAAAAAGAAAAGAGGATTAAAGATCAAGAAAGAAGAAAGATAAGAGTTATAAACATATAGCGAATTGGATAAGATGAACAATGTTTGTGATATACTCCATTAATTCTATATTTTCGGATTGCAACAAATAGAATAGAAACCAAACTTTATGTTAATATATACATTTGCATATCATTGTTATAAAATGATTGACCTAATTTTTTCAAAGACAAAATTCAAGATCCAATGCAACACACAATCTATCTCAACTGATTTTATTGTTGTCCTTAGCAACCAATATTTAATGGTTTATAGTATATTGTAAATATCATACTAAACTATTTTATTTTATAAACATAATATAGTATGTTATATAGCTTCTTCTTTCTAATTTTTGTACTCTTTTTCCTTCGGCTCCTCTTCATTCACTTCTCTTCCTCCTTCTCCTACTTTTGTTATTTAATTATTTTATTCTCTTTTTTTCTTTTGCATCTCTTCCTTCTTCACTACTTATCTTCACTATTTATCTTCTTTCTACTCTTATTTGGTCTTCTCTTATTTTATTCTTCAATCACCTCCAATTTTTATATCCACCACCACCAGTTATTATATCATATCCACTGTTTTTTCCTCTATTATTTCCACTGCCGTCAAATAATAAATATGGTTAGAGAATATAAACAATAAACTATTTTTGTTTTTTATTATATTTTACATCTACATAATAGACTTGTACCGCAGTATGCATTTGTTTGTTGTTATCATACATGTACATCAGCACCACCACTATTACTGGTTTTTTCATAAGCGATACTATTTTTTCGTCCATCACTCTCGTCATGCATTATTTCCTCATCTCTTCTACCGTATCTTTGTTCTCCACCTCTTGTACCAACAACCGCAATCAATTGTTATAAAACATTTGCATAATAAATATAGTATATTTTATTTTGTGCAAATCACTCTTTTATGCACGACCACATGCTGATAAGGAGTATTTGTACTTATGTGAAAATGATCACATCCGTATCTCACTTTATATTATGGTTACTTGGAGAATATTTTCCCTTAATATTGCTATCCACTAATTCCTCCTATTAAAATTTTTTTTTTTTGATAAGAAATTTTAACAACAACATCATTAATTTGAGAAAAATGTTATAAGTGCCATAATTAAAAAGACAAACTTTAGTAATGTAGTTTACAAGCTCATATAAGAAACGAGAGACAAAAGAAAAATAACAAAAAACAAAAGAGAACAGTAGAGATTTGATGTCAAAAGGATTTTATTGACTTCCATCAGTTTCACAATCGAAGTGATAACTCAGGTGAACTCTTAAAAATTTGATTTTCAACAGATTTTGAGTATATTTAGAAATAATTATTTAGTCTTTTACCCGCAAAGAACCTAATTTGATTTTCGTAACACTTGTGTGTGATTCTTTGTGTCCATATTGTCTTTACTTATCA